AGGAAAGGCTCTGGCGTCCCTAGGCGCAGGTTAGTCACTGGGTGTGAACAGGGGCTGGGATTCCAGCCGGGAGAAGAGGGAGGGAGGACCACGCCCCAGGGTGAAGGCCACCAAGGGTTGGCTGGCTCGCAGGTCACAGACACACGAATAAGACACAGTCTCTGGCCTGGAGGAGCTTCTGGTCGGGAAGAAGGCCCAGCTTACTGCTCCTGGGACAGAGGGACGGGCAGGGGCGGGCCGAGGAAGGAGTGGCGTGTGAGGGCAGTGTCCCGAGGGGCTGGCATAGGAGGTGGGCACCGAGAGGGGAGTCTGGGGCACATTTGGGGCCAGGTGGGGGGCAGGGCTGGGAGAGCGCAGGGTTGGTAAGGACCCCACTTGGGCCCCTCGCCCTCCCCTACGGAGGAGGAAGGCAGGGGCTTGGAGAATTTGGGGGATCCTTCACATCAAAGAGCAGGCCATGCTGGGTCTCCAGCCCCACCCCTTCCCCATCACCATAACGACCATATCCCATAATGGATAAGAGGAACTAGGCACAGAGGGAGAGAACGATTGAAAAGGCAGCCTTTCACTTTCACCTTTCCGGGGTGGGGGTGGGGCCGGTGCACCAGGAAGCTGAGGGGTCTCACCGCCCCCCGCCCCGGCCCCAGTGGCATCTTGCCTCTGTTGGGGGCATCTCTCACCCACCCAACCTTAGAGGACACCAGCTGGCCATCGGAAGCCAAGGAGGGACCACAGATGTGTGCTGTGATTTTTGAAAATGGAACCCTTTCCCGACAGTTACAAATGAGGGAAATATACATAGAAATCTGGATTTCTAGCTTCTTTTGAAAAATCCAGAGCCCTGGCAATGCCCAGGCCTTCGCTGATGCGGCACAAAGCCTTTTGGAGCTGGTCCTGTGCCCGCCGCGGCTTGTCACCTCTCTGCCATCGGAGGCGTGGGTCTGCGTTCCCTTGGACACCTGAGTCGCTCTGGGGGAGGTGGCTGTGAGCTGTGCGCCCTCCTCCCCCCCAGGTTGTGAGTGAGGAGGCAGGTAAGCAGAGGTCGGTGGCCCCTGTAGAGGCCAGGGGGTGGGCTGCGGGGTCTCTGGGGACCCTCGTGGCCCTGAGCGTGGGAGGGCTGAGATGTTTGCGGCTGTGGCCCCTCAGCCCACGTCGCACACCCTCTCACCTCCTTCCCTCTCGTCCGTCCGTTTCCCTTTGCCTCCTTACTGAGCGGGCGCGTGCATAGCCTCGTGCATTTTCCCGAAGCGTGCGCCTGTGCGTAACCTGGCCTGACCGGCCCCCGGACGGTGCCCTCCTGCCAGCCCCCAGGACACTTCCCTGACTTCTGACCCCGGGATCCAGGCCCGCCTGCTGTGGAACCTGACGGCAGTGGAATCGGGTTCACTGTCTGGAGCCCGGCTTCCTGCATCCGGTTTGTGTTGTGGCAGCGTCATCACCCAGGGTCTCGGCGTTTCCTTGGTGCTTGAAGGTGGGCTTTTGTCACTTGCTCTCTTCGCTGTCCCCAGTGCCTCCTCCACCCGCTGTGGTCTCTCTGTCCCCTCACATGACTGGTGAGCCAAGTGGTGCTGTCCTTACCTCACAGACGAGGAGACCGAGGCTCTTAGAGGGCCCCTGGCTTCAAGGCCTCTTAGACCATCAGGGCAGGGCCTGCACACTCAGGCCGAGTCGTGCTTCTGTGTCTCTGACGCGCTGAGGCCCCTGCCCACGGGGGTGGCCGCACGTGCCTGCGTGCCCCTGACTGTGCTGGGGATCATATGGGGGGTGGGGTGGATGCAGGACGGACTCCAGGGAGGGGACCTCTGTCCCCAGCACCTGTCTGCACACAGAAAGCGAACAGGGCTCTCTTACCTGTGCTGACACTGACGCACTACCTGCCGGCTTTGGGTTTACCCAGGGGCCAAAGTCCTGGTCACTGTTGAAACAAGTTCACAGATGAAGGCTGGGCAAACAGGGGCAGAGGCCAAGTTCCAGCTCACTCCCTTCCTGCCGGGTCACCTCGGGTGATCTCTGAATGCCTCTGAGCCTCAGTTTCCCTCTCTGTGCGGGGGCAGGGGGTGGGGGCGTTTGACCACTTCTCCTACATGGGGCTTTGCCAGCACGAGCAAACAGAGGTGTAGAGAAGGAGCGAACCTGGCCATGGCTGCTTCCTCCGGGCTGTCCTCCAGAGCCAGGAGGCCCGGCTTCAAATCCGGACGCCCCAAGTACTAGCTGTGCATCCGTAGGTGGGGTCCAGAGCCTCCGGGTGTCACTGCCCCTGTGTCTGCCGTGGGGACGGTACTGAGTGCACCTTGGGTTGCTGTTGGGTAAAGGAGTCGGTGCCGCTGTCCGCGCCCGGCAGAGCCTCCCATGGCCGAGACAGAGGCCGGTCAGTTTGGGAGGTGGGGCGGGCCCCATGGACAGAGCGCCGGAGGAACGGGGGGACACACGGGGCAATCACGGTGACTTCTGCGGACCTCAGGAAGCAGGCCGCTGGGAGCCACGGCTGTCCCTGAGACAACCCAAATCTAATCAGCATCCTGGGGCCAGATGTCATCATCGTGGTAATGCCCCAATTACCAGCATTCTGCGGTCAGTGCCCCCCGGGTGGCCAAGATCGCTGCCTGCATTAAGGTATTTAAGGAAATTCTGAGCCAGAATTGGTGGTCAGTGTTTATCTAGCTGTGAGAGGTGGAAAATTCCAGCTTGTGGGGCTGTGTCCCTGCGTTCCTGAGGGATGGCTGCTCAGCGGCCTCCCTGCGTTGAGCGATGCCTGTGGACCCTCCACTGTGTCGGCTCTGGGGTGTCGGCTAAGCAGAGAAATGGCCTTGCAAGTGACGGGCGCCGCTGGCTGTTCCTGACCCCTGAGGCCCAGCCTCCTCCCCGGGGCCTCCAGGACCTGCTGAGGATGGGTGTGCCTTCCGGCCTCCCCGGCGACCCCATTGCCAGCTTGGATTCAGTGTATGCACAGTCAGCGTGAGTGTCCACGCTGCCATAATGTGGCCAGCCTGTCCCCAAGATGCTGCCCCCGCCAGCGGGTCTGGCCCAGCCATGTCTTGTGAAGGAGGTCCGTGGCCTCCAGCCCCCTCCTGTCCCCCTCAGACGACGCATCCCCCTGGGCTTCAGACACAGCTGGTGACCTTCAGGCCAGTCTGCAGCCCCAGCCTACCTGCTGAGCTCCAGGCCAGTGGAACATACGGCCTCCTGGACTGGATGCCCCCTCCCGCCCCAGGGGCCCACCACCTGCTTCAACTCCCCCTGTCCCAGCATGGGGAGGGCGCCTGATCTTCCTGCACCCACTGCCTGCCATCAGCAAGTTCGCCCCCCCTCCCATGCAGGGCTGGGCCTGCCCCCCTTCTCCAGCAGCACCCACCGCGCCCCCCAGCCTGTCCAGCTCGGTCTCGAACCCACAGCCCTTCTCCACACCCAACGTGGAGTGCACTTCGTGGCAGGTGTACCTGCCCCTCTCCTGCCTAACAGCCTTCAGGGGCTCCCTGCTGTCCTGGGGACAGACGCAGCCTCAGTCACGTCCTGTGCCCCGTTGCCCTCTTCTTCTATCCGTCCCTGCAGCCAAGGGCAGGTCTTGCGGCCTGGGGGATGGGCCATGCCCTCCACCCTCCCCTGCTAGTCACTCATTCTTTGCTCATCACTTCCCCCATCTCTTTCCTTCTCCCGAGACTCATCAGGATCAAAAACGGGCTTGTTATTGTAGTCCCCTCGTAGCAAGGACTTCAGGCACCGAGAGCAGTGGTTGGCACTGAGGGAGCACACTGCCCAAGTGTAGAACAGACTAGAAGGCGCGTGGTTGCTTATTGAGGGGGTGTGCTGCGCCGGCCGCCGGGCTTGGCCTTCTGCTTACAGAGGATGAGACGTGGCCTGTCCTCATGGAGCCCACGGCACCTCCCCTGCGTGGGATGGTCTTCTTCTGCACACACCACACCGCCCCTGCCCTCCCCTGGGGAGTCCCTCCAGGAACAGTTGACCCTCAGGGCCCGTGTGGGTCCTCCCTGACGGCTGCCTTTCCTGATGCTGTTCCCACAGCCCCTCTGCAGACATGTTCCCGCGTGGGTCCCTCCCACACCCCATGCCATCCCCTTTTGGTGGCTCAGGCCAAACGAGAGTCATTCTCGACCCTGATTCCCTCTCTTCTCTCACCCCCTTCCCCCCCCACCCCAAAGTCTGTTCTGCCAGCGTATGCCGTTGGCTGTACCTTTGACAGGTCTAGAATCCAGCCTGCTCTTACGGACCCTTGCCGGCACCTGCTGCCTGGACCAGTGCGCTGGCCTCCTCACAGTCCCTGCCTCTGCCCTTGACCCCATGGGCCCCGCAGACCACATAACCGGAGAGGTGGTTCCAGGGTCTCGTCCTGTCACGTCTCTGCTCAGAAAGCTCCAGTGACTTGTCTTTTCAAGTACTTGTCAGAGAGAGGAAGGTAGAAGTGAGTGGCTTCTTCTGCATCTGCGGGTGCTGGCGCATAGTAGGCGCTCCAGAACACCTGCAGCGAGAATGCACACGGGCGAGGGACCGAGGGCCGGGAGCACGCAGTAGGTGCACGGGGAAGCCTGCTGGGCTAGGCTGGCCAAGGTGGCTGGTTCTCGCCCCCCAGTAGTAGGGCAAGAGGAGCCCCCGGTTGGAGGCTGCCTCCCCTCCCCTCCCCTGCTTGTGGTCTTGGGGCCCCGGCCTGGCCTGCCTCACTGGCCAGGCGGGGCCGCTGACGTGCCTGTGGGTTCCGGGAACCCTGCTGGGCAGCAGTTCTGGGAAGGCGGCCGCTGGGAGAGAAGTGTGGCCCTGGCTCCCTGCCAGGCTGGCCCAGCTGGCCCAGAGGCCAGAGGAAGCTCCCGGCTGGCTTAAAACAGTGGAGCCCCAGGGGCTGGTGGCTCCCCCCAGGGAGGCCCCCCTGCAGCCCCCGCTGTCATTGGCTTCCTCTTCACACGCGCTCATCATGGGACTGGCCACGTCCTGTCTGCCCGGCCAGCCCCCGCTGCCAGCCGGTTTGCGGTCAGAGAAGGAAGAGGAGTGGGGTGCGGGAGGCCTTGCACCCTTATGGGCTCCAGAAGGGCCTGCTCGGTCACGGCCAGACTGCCGCTGGCCTTGACGTTTCAAGACTGGCCTCTCACCTCCTCCCAGATACAAAGAGTGAGGTGAGTGCATTTCACTGCCGGCTGGAGGGTTCTCCCACTGGGAGCGCTTCTGACCTCTTCCCCAAGCGCTGCTTCCTACCTCTCTGACCTTGACTTTGTCACTTGCCCGTCTCTAGGCCTCAGTTTTGGCCATCACACCACCTGCGAGAGTGGCAGGGATTGCGTTTCAAGAGGCAGCAAATACAAGGGGTCAGGGTTGTGGCTTCTGGAGTGAGGCTGCCTGGGTTCAAATCCTAGCTCTGGAACTTGTCGGTGCCCCAGTTCCTCTCCTGTGTAAAATGGGGGGTTCAGTGTTAACCTACCTTGCAGAGTTGTATGCATAGCAATCATCATGAGCAAAAGCTTGGCACCCCATGCTTAAGAATAGATCATGGGATTAGTTATTCTTGAATTTTAACCTATTGCTCATTTAATGGGTATTTACTGAGCACTTACTGTGTATCTGTCAGGCACTATTCAGGTCCTGGGGACAAAGCAATGACTATAAAGCTCTGTCTTCATGGGTTTGCATTCTCACAGGGTTTGGGGGAACAAACAGTACATATATAGACAAATAATTAAATGTGATGGGTGATCTTTTATATTCAGTACATTATGAACTAGCAGATGAGTGGGGCTGTTTCATATTTTGCCAGCATGGAATACTTCTTGGGTGAATAATCTAGGCCCTTTGCCTGTTTTTCTTGATGGGGTGTTAATCTTACTGATTTGTGAGGTCTCTTTATATACAAAGGCCATTAACTGTCTGCGATGTAGATTGTTATCTTTTTCTAGTCTTTGCTTGCTTTTTTTTTTTTTTAATCTGAGGGGGCGGGGAGGGGGGAGAGGTAGAGGCAGAGAGAGAGAGAATCTTAAAAAGCCTCCACACTCATCACAGCACCTCAACACAGGGCTCGATCCCACAATCCTGGGATCAGGACCTGAGCTGAAATCAAGAGTCAACCAACGGAGCCACCTGGCATCCTGCCTTTTTTTTTTTTTTTAATGGTGCATTTTGATCTGGGGAAGTTGAAAACATTTGTGCCATGAGGTCTTTGCCATCTACGTTCTGGAATGAAATAAACATTCACGTGTATAACCTCGGTGGTATGAACAGAGGTGGTGATGAGCACGTGACAGACACTAACAGGGTGCTGTGATGAACAGTAATGGGGGACCTCTCAGTAGGTGGGGTTTCTGGGCGTCAAGGCCAGTGAGGTCCAAAGGCTTGTGGGGGATGGGGATGGGGTAGGAGGGAATGGTAGACATGTCATGGGCTAGATCATCCAGGGGCTTAAGGGTTTGTTTGTTTGGTTTTGGTTTTGATTTTGGTTTTCGCATTTTCTCACACTTTTTATTTTAAGGTAATTGTAGACACACACGCAGTTGTAAGAAATAGTAGAGTCAGTTTCCCTCTTGCAAACTACAGTAGCCTAACCGGGATACTGACATTGATACGATGCGCTGAGCACCTGTTTTACGTACCCATTTGTGCGCGTGTGTGCGTGCGCGTGTTTAGTTCTACGCACTTTTGCCCCATGTGCAGGTCTCTGTCTCCAGCACGGCAGCCACGATTCGAAGATCCCGGTGTTGCCCTTTTATAGCCACACGGACCTCCCTTCCTACCCGCCGACCGTGAATCTGCTCCCCGTTTCCGTAATTTTGTCATTTCAAGAATGTTACATAAATGGAATCGCACAGGGAACACCCTTTTGGGTTGGCTGTTTACACCCTCGGGCTTGGGTCTAATGCTGAGTCGGAGGTGCTCCTGTTGGATGGGCCATGAACCCCGGGCACCCCTGTCCCTGGGTGAGGACACCCTTTGGGAGCCAGAGGCTAATGAAGGGCTTGAGCAAGCAGTTCATGGCCTGGTTTCTGACTTTAAAATGACTCTGCCAGGAGCGCCCAAGGGCTCAGTCGGTGAAGCATCTGACTTCGGCTCAGGTCATGATCTCATGGTTTATGGGTTCGATCCCCGTGTAGGGGCTCCACGCTGACAGTGTGAAGCCTGCTTGGGATTCTCTCCCTCTCTCTGTCTCTCTCTCTCTCTGCCTCTCCCCCACCCGCTCTCCCTCTTTCTCTCTCGAAAATAAATAAACTTAAAAAAAAAAAAGATTCTGCCTGCAGTGTGGCAAAGAGATGAGGTGACTCATGTCAGCCGCTAACTCCTTACCACCCGCCCCTGCCCCATCATTCTCTGCGCCCCAGACTAGCTCTTTGGGAAATCTTGCCACAACCCTGTTCAAAGACCCTTAAGGGGCACTTGGGTCGCTCAATTTGTTGGGCATCCGACTTTGACTCAGGTCATAATCTCATAGTTTGTGAGTTCGAGCCCCACATCGGGCTCTGTGCTGACAGCTCAGAGCCCGGAGCCTGCTTCAGATTCTGTGTCTCCCTCTCTCTCTGCCTCTCCCCAGCTCGCACTCTGCCCCCCTCTCTCTCTCAAAAATAAACTTTTAAAAACTTTAATTCAAAGACTCTAAGACCCTTAAACACTGCCCATTGCCTAGAGGAGGGGCCTTTGACCTGAGCCCTTAGCTGCGGGACAGCTACGAACCGCTAAATCGGAATACAAAATTGAATGCGTGCACTTTTCTAGAAGGAGGGTTTGGAGTTTGCATCAGATATTCAGACGAATCGGTAATCTCCAAAACATTAAAGACTGTGGCTTCCAAACAGAGATCGTTGGTTAAGAGCTGAGGCCCCAGAGCCTGACGGTCCCTGTTCAGCCACTGCTCTGCAGCCCCAGACAGGTCACTTAACCCTTCTGTGCTCTGGTTACCTCATTTGAAAATGAGTACCTACTTTGTAGGACAGTGTTGAGTATTGAATGAATAAGTCAAAGTGCAGTGTTCACAAGGAAACTTGGCACGTGGTAGATGTTGTATGTTTGTTAAGTGAATCATGAGCCTCTAGGGTGTAGGGGACAGAAACTTTAGGCAAAAACTTTCTGGGCCCTCTGGGATTTTCAGGCTATCTCTGTGTCAGTTATCATCCTCTAGACAAGCTTCAGATCGGCAGGGACAGTCCAACAGGTGTGGTCGGGCACTGTCCCCTCCTTTGTCCTGGCTTTCATATCTTTGTTAATGTGGCTTTCGCTGGCTTTTTTGTCTGTTGGTTTGGTGTTTGTTTGTTTGTTTGTTTTTTAAGCTGCTGCTTCCCATCTGGCATGTGGGGCATTTGCAGACCACAAAAGGCCTAAGCCTTTTCTGCTGTTTCTGATTCTTTGCTTGGGCAGCTGATGTTAGAAATTGACTGGGGCGCCTGGGTGGCTTAGTCGGTTAAGCGTCCAACTTTCGCTTAGGTCATGATCTCGCGGTTCGTGGGTTCGAGCCCCGCGTCGGGCTCTGTGCTGACAGCTCAGAGCCTGGAGCCTGTTTCAGTCTGTGACTCCCTCTCTCTCTGACCCTCCCCTCCTCACGCTGTCTCTCTCTCTGTCTCCTAGAAATAAATTAAAAAAAAAACATAAAAAAAAAAAGAAATTGACAAGCGAGGGGCGGGGGCTGCTCTTCCTGGCTCATTTCATTCACTCCTTTCTGTATTCTTTGGAGAAGGTGAAGGCACTGATAATGCTGGAATGAACGTTGGGGTCAGAGGGCAACAGACCTGGCCGGCTCTGGGACCGGGTGGGCAAGCTATTTGACCTCCCTGGCCTCAGTTCCCTTGGGTGGAAAGCGAGAATAACAGCCCATCTTGCAGGGTTCTCAGGCAGATGCAATAAGGTAATGTTCCTAATGCCCTTAGCTCAGTGCCAAGCACAGTGTAAGTACTTGACAAGAGGGGTTGTGTTTACACAAATCTTTGGCTCGATCTAAGGAAACTGTTTCCAATCTCAGTTCTGCTCAGCCGTGACCTGGAGCTGAGCGTCAGTGCAGATGCCGGGCTACAGCCTGGCGGAGGGCGGACACACCGTGCTCGGCATCCCTGTTGGAGTTGGCGGCCGAGTCAGGGCTTTTCTGCCAACTCAGTGGGTCCAGAATCCCATGGCTGAAGTGTGACCGTGAAATGACTTCTTGCTTTGTGCTTGGCCCGAGCACTTGGCGATTGTTCTTTTTAATTCTTTTATTTGTCTGCATCTTTGCTCTCTATCCCTTGTGATGTTCAGGGAGGCTCTTCTGTCACTGCGCCGGGGCTGTGATTTCCCCTGAAACGCAGCCCCCCGCGTGTCCCTATGAAGCCAGCTGGGGTGTGTGTGTGTGTGTGTGTGTGTGTGTGTGTGTGTATGTGTGTGTGTGGTTATATGCAGACACATGCACACATCGGGATGTGCCTCCTGAAACAGATCAAAGATAGCAACGTGGATGGCCATTGATGCGAAGTTTTGGGCTGCCCTCTCACGGGTGGCTTCCCTCAACCACCGCAGCCCTGCTGCTGTGCGACCTGGTACGCAAATCTTGCCCTCTCTGTTTCCCTGTATTCATCATGGCTAAAGTGACACCCTTGCCATCTCTGCCATAGATGGGCATGTGGGCATGTGTGAACATGTCAGAGGCAGCGTCGCCAGGGCTTTGAGAGGACACCAGCGTCCTGGGTCCACCACTACCCTTCCCTTCCCCCCCCCCCCCCCCCCCCCCCCCCCCCCCCCCCCCGTTCTTCAGTGTGACTCTGGAAGGGAAGCTGTTAGGACTTTGAACAGATACAGGGTCCCCCTGGGGAGAGTTTCCAGCCCCATGCGGAGCCCATTAGAGGCCCCACATCACATCCAAAGTGACTTTATTCCACAAACATGAACTGAGCAGGTGTTATAAGCCAGACACGGCCGCGGCCACTAGGAACTTGGCAGCGAGCAGAACAGATGCCGGCTCTCAGGATGACAGGCAGTTGACGAAGAACAGCTCTTCTGCACTCTCCTTGCTGTTTGCTGACCCCCTGCATTTTTTCAAATGCACCGGCCAGTTCCTTCATAACTTCTCCTCCACGAGTTCCATTTGTCCGACCCTTCCCTGTGGTTTGTGCCCTCGGCGCAGGAACGGCAGAGAAGCGATGCTGTGTTCTCAGGGGATAGTTTCAGGAAGCTCGGGACCTTGATCTGTCCTGTTCCTGGTGATGCTAACTTTGACCACTTGGTTGAAGGTGCTGCCGCCGGGTTTCTGTATATAAAGTCATATACAGTTTTACATACACGTGTGTATGATACAGAGGACGTTACCAAGTTAATAAGTGTTTTGATTCATTAATTAATAAACCGTACGAGTTTTGTGGGGAGGTACCTCGAGGCCGCCCCGGTTGAAATACAGCTACCCTTTCTGCCCCACTTATTGATCTAAATCAGGACAGACTCCTGCACTCTTTTGAACCCCAAGGACTACCATTGGTTAGTGTACATTTACTGGGATGCTTCAGTTGTCCCCATTTGGGCCAGGACACTGTTTAGCTGGCTCCTGTGTCTTTTTTTTTTTTTTTTCTTTAGTGTTTGTATTTTATTTTTGAGAGAGACACAGAGCGCTAGTTGGGAAGGGACAGAGAGAGAGGGAGACACAGAATCTGAAGCAGGCTCCAGTCTCTGAGCTAGCTGTCACCACAGAGCCCGACACGAGGCTTGAAGTCACGGACTGTGAGATCATGACCTGAGCCAAAGCCAGACGCTTAACTGACTGAGCCACCCAGGCGCCCCTCCTGTGTCTTTTTTTTTTTTTGACGGGTGCCCATGATTCTTGCAGCATGTCCTTCCTTTCTGACATAAGGGTTCCCAGCTTATCACGTACCTGCACTGCTCCTGTGGTCAGTCAGTACCAGAAGCCAAGATCTGGGCACGGGGATGCGATCCTCAGATGTAATGCACAACCCGAGACTGGACCCTGGACTTGTTAGAAGGCGCTGTGGAGGCAGTGAGCAAGACGGAAATCGGGTCTGCGGGTGGACCCGATGGCCATCATGCGTCAGTGTTGATTTCCTGACTTTGACGGCTGCACCGTGGCTGTGGGAAGTGAATGACCTTGCTCTCTGGGATACCCACTGGGGCTTTAAGGAGCGATGTGTTCATTATGAACAAATGAACACCCAAAATGAATAACACAGAGAGAGACTGAGAGGGGAGACGAATGAAGAGGACAGTGAGAGGAAAGGTACGAGGTGGGAATGGGCTTGGTGTGATTGAGGTGCGGCAAGAAGTGAAGATGTGGCAGGTGGCAGGAGTGCCGTGCAAAGGTGCTGGGGCCGGGTGGAGAGGGAGGGGGGCCTGGCGGGGGAGGCCCTGCAGGGACACAAAGCCCTCCCTGTGCTCCAGACACTGTGCCGAGTGCTTTAAGCTCGCTTCCATTTTGCACCACCCCTGTGAGGTCCGGCTCCGTCTCATTTCCACACTGCACGTACAGAAGCCAGCGCCATGCACGGTAGGGGAACTGCCTTACTCAGCACAGAGCCACCGAGCAGCCGGAGGGAGCCTTCCTGAACATGGCCCCGAGATAGAGACCCCCGTGGGGACAGGGGGGCCGATGCTGTCAGCATTGGCGGGAACCTGCCCTCATGTAGAAGGCGTCCTGTGCTGGGAGTGTCGTGGGCAGGCGCACACGCTCCTTGACCCGTGGGATTCCACATCTGAGCAGTTGTCCTTAACGAAAGTGACCGGTGACTCCTTGGGCCGTGACTGTGCTCGGGTCACTATTTGAGGACCCTGTGTGTGTTAGCTCACCCTGGTCAGGTAGGGGCCGTTATTAGCTCCCCTTTACGGGGCAGGAAACTGAGGCACGGAGGGGTTAGGTGCTTTGCTCAACGTTTATGGCGAGTGAGTGATAGGCAGGTGTTGGAACTTCAGGAAGTGCGCTACCTGGCCAGCCATTGCGGGGAGAGGAGGCGGAGCGGGGATATAAACACGCTCCACGACCGAAGACATTGTGCCAGCCCCTTCTCTCAAACTACGTATGCGTAGAAAAGACTAGAAATGGATGTTTTTCCAGGTGATGGAATGACAGCCATTCTTTTTTGTTTTAAGTTTGTTTATTTATTTTTGAGAGAGAGATAAGTACACGCACATGTGAGCAGGGGAGGGGCAGAGAGGGAAGGAGACAGAGAATCCCAAGCAGGTTCCGTGCTGTCAGCACAGAGCCCGACCTGGGGCTCCATCCCACAAACCCAGAGACCAGGACCCAAGCTGACATTGAGAGCTAGTCGCTTAACTGACAGAGCCACCCAGGCACCCCCCACAGCCATTCGTTTTGTACATTGGCATGTCTCTCTTTCCTGAATTGTCTGCAGTGATCACGTGTGGCTTTTGTCATGAGAAAAAAAGAGTCAATATCATATCTTAAAAAAAAAAAAGCTTCAGGCAAGGATCAGGAAATGCGTGGCAATGGCTCTCCATGGGCAGGCTTCTATGCCACGCTGTGTGTAATAACAGAGCAACGAAAGTAATAAAGGCTAAAATCCAGTGACACACGGCGGGACAGTGCCGATTTGATGCTGTGAATCTATAGTGGTACGGAATGATAGTTAATGGTATGTTGAGTTTAAAATTTAAGTCTTAACATTTTAGAGGAATGCTATTTGGGTACATAAAATCCATATTTATCACCCTGTCTGTATGGATACATATCTGGAAGCGTTGATATGAATGTGTACATGACCTTGGGATTTGAATTGTGTTTTCTTTTTGGATGTCTACTTTCTGACTTTTATTCCCCAGCTGTGTATTATGGGATGCATTTAACACATTAGGGGCGGTGCACTACCCCATTTATATGGAGCAAAAAACCCAGAGGTGATCTGTGGGGTTCAGAGTCTGGGTGGTGGGGAACCCTGGAGGGGGGTGGCCGTAAAGCACAAAACCCCAGGAGCAGGAGATGCTTACTTAGCTCAGGTCCGGGAGAGTCAGCTGACTCGGGCCTGGCCGACCTCGCTGGGTCTCCTGCGCACTGTGGTCAGCCTGGGGTCGCTTACACAGTTGTTCCCATCTGCTGATCTTGCGCGAGCTCGCTCACATGGCTGGGGGTGGCTGCCTGCTTCCTGACTGACTGCTGTGTGCATGTCCGCGCCTTCCAGCGAGCTGGCACGTGCGTTCCTAAGAGAGTGGTTGCGCAAAAGCAGGCATGTGCAGTGCGTCCCTTTGGCTCCTTTCTGCTGCCCAAAGCTACTTACGTGGTTGAGCCCAGCCAGGGGAGAATGCCCTGCCCGGAGGCGGGGGGGGGGGGGGGGGGGGGGGGGGCACTGCAAGGTTATGCGGATCCAGGTGGGCTGCAGAGAATTGGGGTCATTGGTGTAAGTCAAACATTCAACAGTATCCTTTTTAATCTCCACCTAATACTGCATCGCATGGCTCTACCATTTATTTAACCAGTCCTGTAAGGCTAAGCAGATTAACATCTAAAGTATATATCAAGGAGTTGTAAATCTCTTAGGGTTTAATTGGAGTTTTAGCATACAGGCACATACAAAGGAAGGTTGAGTAGGGAAATAAATTAGGCAAGTGTTGGGTAAAATGAAGAAAAAGAACTTTCTCTGCTGCAGGGCTTATCAGAGTCTTTACACACAAATGTGCCTTATGGACTTCCATAAGTCCAAGGGGTTGCTTACACTTAACAGGTCATAAGGATTTTTTTTCAAGAAGTGCCTCTTGGGACAAACGTTCTGGGCTTTGCGCATCTGGGTTGTATTTATGATGATAAGGATAGGGTGAGCTCTGGTGACACAGACAGCTCATTCCTGGCACTAACCTGGCTTGCTTCCTCTCAGCAGGTATCTTAGGATCTCCCAATGGGGCGGCTTTGCTCTGGGCTCACGTTCCCTGTGAGCTGCCTGATCCTGGTGTGGGCGGCGGGCTCTGGTAAGTCACTGCCTCTCATTCATTCATGCACTCATTCATTCGGCAAACGTTCATTGACTGTTTAGACGCCAGGCTCCCAGGAGAATCAGTGAACGAAACACAGATTCTGGGCCTTGAGGAGCTTACGTTGTAGCGGGAAGGGACAGCCAATGACAGAGGGTCCTAATTATAAGTCAGTTGTAAAGAGTGTTAGAAAGTGATGCAGAAACACAGCACAGGACAGAGTTGGGGGCATGTGTTTGGGGGAGGAGGGGTCCAACTGTAGTTTCGGACACGAGGTGAGTTTGAGAATACTTATTAGCTATCTAAGACTCTGCCTGACACAGTAAGTCCTTTCCAGCGAACGTGTACAAACCGGTATCCGCTTGGATGCCGGGCATCAGAGCGAGAAAGGCACCTGTCTGTCTCTTGTTGGGCTCTCGAATGATTTGGCAAACCCAGTACACACTCTGCCGGGTCACACCCCGGCCCTGCCACTGACCAGCTGGAAGGAATACCCCAGCGTCTCATCCTGCCCTTAACATGGGCTGAACGCACCCGGCAGCCAGAGGACAAGGACACCTGAGTGACAAGTGCCGCCTGAGTTGAGGGGTGCTCAATGGGTGGGGTCAGCGAGTGAGCGAGTGGCCCCTTCTGCTCACACCGCTCTGGGGCGGATGCCTGTGGTGATGGAATAGACTAGAAATGCCCTTGAACTTGACCGAGGGCAAGTAGTGGAGTTGTCGTGAGACGAGGTGGGCCTGCCGTGGGGGGTATTCTTTGACATCAGGAACCCCCCCCCAGGCCAGCCGGGACACTGCAGAGCCCCTGCCCTCACCCAGCTCCGCAGAGACAGGCATACAACCGTGCCTGGGACTGTGGTTTCCCGTGTGGCCTTGGCCCCTCGGTCCCGCTTGGACTGGTTTCTGGCGCGTCGCCCTGCTGTGCGTCCCCCTCGCTGTCAGCTCTGGCTGCTCAGAGCACCCCTGTGTCTCCCCAGGGAGCGTCAAGGTCCTGCATGCGCCCAGCTGCTTCTCCGACTACATCAGCACCTCCGTCTGTCGGTGGAAGATGGACAGTCCCACCAACTGCAGCGCCGAGCTCCGCCTGAACTACCATCTGGACTTCACGGGGTCCGAGTAAACCACGAGGGGGAGCTGGCCGTGGGGGGCTGCGGCCAGGGCGTTCGCCCCAGGAGTTCGCCTGGTCCAGGCAGTGCCTGGGGCCTCCCTGCAGCTTACTGAGCGTGTTAGGAGTGAGGCGCTCTGGGGTGCCTGCGTGGCTCAGCCAGTTAAGCATCCAGCTTCAGCTCAAGTCGTAATCTTGTGGTTCGTCAGTTCGAGCCCCGCATGGGGCTCTGTACTGACAGCCTAGAGCCTGGAGCCTGTTTCAGATTCTGTATCTCCCTCTGTCTCTGCCCCTCCCCTGCTCATGCTCTGTCTCTCTCTCTCTCAAAAATGGATAAACATTAAAAAAGAGTGAGGTGCCCTGGGGCTCAGTGGGTGGGTCACACTGCTCTGAGCACACTGTCACTGAGGCATGTGGCACGTGGCTGTGGGTGGAATATCGGACTCGACCGGTGGTTCTCAAACTTTGGAGTCCTGCGGTTTGTTTGTCTGCTTAAAAACTAGACAAAAGCTTTTGTCTAGGTGGCCTGTGATGTTGGTATGTCCCCTATCAGCAATGACAACAGAGATGTTAGACCTCAGCAGCACACAGGTGCTGGAGCCTGCTTCAGATTCTGTGTCTCCCTCTCTCAGTCTCATGACTGAGCCAAAGTCAGGTGCTTCACCGACTAAGCCATCGGAGCAGTGACCACATATCGTGTCACATCTAGAAAACTCCACCTTATGCTTGTGTGGAAAATGGCAAGTAGCCTCTTGATATTATGAAGATGGTTCGACCTAGTGACCCCTCCAGACCACACTTTGAGCTCCACTCGCCAGACTGCTGTTTGGGCACATCAGCAGTGGAGCTCACTGTGCTGTTTGGTGGACCGTGGAGCCTGCGGTGCTCTCTTCCGGGTGGGCCACTGGGATAATCCGTGGCACATGGGCTACTCTTACAGGTGGAGCCGAGGGTGTGATTGGGTACACAAGGCACGCAGTCATGGGGGCACATTGGGGTATGCTGCACCCCAGAATATAGGCTTCGCTGACAGACATCTTCATCCTAAGGTAGATGGGCTACGCTGCTTTTTAGAAAAAAATTTTTTTTAAATATTTATTTATTTTTGAGAGAGGGAGACACAGAATCCGAAGCAGGCTCCAGGCTCTGTGCTGTGATCACAGAGCCCGACACGGGGCTCAAACTCACAGACCGTGAGATTATGACCTGAGCCAAAGTCAGATGCTTCACCGACTGAGCCACTCAGGCACCCCTTGGGCTGTGCTTCTAAATGTGGTATACTGGCCTGGACGAGGGATCTGCAGACTATCACCCGAGGCCCGCATCTGGCCCACCACCTGCTTTTGTAAATAAAGTTTTATTGGCACACAGCCACGCCCATTCGTTCACGTATTACCCATGGCTGCTTCGGTGCTACGACAGCAGAGATGAATATTGGGACACACATACTATGGCCCCCAAAGCCCCAGATATTTACTATCTGGACCTTTGCATGAAATGTTTGCTGCCCCCTCCCCTGGGCCATGAGACATGGGGCAGCATGCCAAGGCTTGCCACGGTCCAGCCGCACACTGGGGTAAACCCTGCCACCTCAAGGTACTGCCGGGACACACACACACACACACACACACACACACACGAAATTCTTTAGTGCTTTTGTTCCTTCCCTTTGTGGCCAGCAAGGACAGCAGTGGTAGTGTGTTTTGCTCCCCACACCCCGGTCCCCAGGTCTGGTATTTAAGGTAGGGCGCTCAGGAGGCCAGGAGCACATGTGTTCCTTGAGGCACGTTCCAGGGACACCCGTGGGTCACAGCCAGCCTCACTGTGACAAGCTAACGCAATGCCCATGTCTGCAGAAACCGCACATGTGTCCCTGAGGACGGAGAAGGCACGGCGTGCACGTGCAGCATGCTCACAGAGGACCTGGTCGATGCGGATGTGTACCAGCTGCGCCTGTCGGCTGGGACGCAGATGCTGTGGAGTGGCTCCTTCAGGCCCAACCGGCATGGTGAGTGGGGCAGGGGTGGAGCCAGGGTTGGGGGAGGAGGGGGAGACCGGTCCTGAACCCTGGTTGGGCTCTGGGGCAGGGGAGGCGGGTTCCGTTCAAGGGAGCCAGGTGCAAGCAGTCTTCTGTGTGTCCCTGGACTTGGTGAGATTTTTGCCCCTTTCTGGGTTCCAGCTTCCCATCTTCAAAATGGGGCTGGGCTCCCTAGTACATCAGGTCCCCTTCAGCCACCTGAATTTAAGTGCCCAGACTGGGGTATTGAGGTGAGGCGTGCTTGATAGAAGGCACGCTTCCTGCAGATCACACACTGAGCTGGGAACTGGCCTTCCGCCCTCCATGGACTGGTCAGCCGCTGCCGCTTCGGACAGTCTGGTCCATGGAAGGCCGACTTCATCCTGGTAGCCAGAGTTCCCGCAGCAATTCACCACGATTCTAGGAGTTTGACACACTTTATTGCTGTGTGACCTTGGGCAAGTCACAGTACCGCTCTGAGCCTCCTTTTCCAGAAGAGAGCTATCCCCATGTTACAATTGACTATAATACAGAGAAGCCACGTAACCTGCCTGAGGTCACAGCCACAGAGCCGCAGAGGAATATTCTTGCAGGTACCGTGCAGCTCGCAGCTTGGGGAGGGTTGTTTAAATATACTCAAGAACGAACCCATGAATTAAAATCATTTTTGCATATGTGTGCCGGCTTTATATACCTATGCTCTCCTGGATAGGATTGCTTCAAAGGAGACTAAGTTTTAAAACACACAAATCAAAAATGCTGCGTAATAACACAGCACATAGATGTGGCCCAAAGTGTGATGAAACCAAAGTGAAAAGGCCAAATTTTGGGTCACCATAAAAGTCCGTTAATCCCCGCTCGTGCGAAGCAGAGTTTTAACGACATCGTAATCCGTATCCTGATGGTCGTTCTCTGTTAGGACCACATCCACACAGTTTCCCATCAGTGTGCCACGGAGGTGTACATGAGTAAAACCATCTCAATGGCCCGGGTCCTGTGGACCACTGTCCCGGCCAAGCACCTCACCAGCCACTGCTTCTCCACAGTGAAACCCAGGGCCCCCGGAAACCTCACAGTGCACCCCAACGCCTCCCACACATGGCTGCTGATGTGGAGTAACCCGTACCCGCCTGATAATCACCTGCACTCCGAGCTCACCTACATGGTCAACATTTCGAACGAGAACGACCCCACGGATGTGAGTGTGTGCGCTTGGGGGTTTCTCTGCCACCTCTTGGGACTCAGGCCCCTGGAGCTCGACTTCCGCCCGGGCTCTGTGCCCTCCGCGCGCTCCTCCCCCGGTCCCCCCACCTCTCCATGGTGCACCTCGCCCCCCATCCCTCCATTCCTCCATGATGCGCCCCGCCTCCCCCGGACCCCCACCCCTCCGTGGTGCGCCCCGCCTCCCCAGGACCCCCACCCCTCCATGGTGCACCCCGACCCCCTGCGCGCCTGGCTCCCCAGTACATCGTAATTTTATGCTGTCGCTCAGTGCTCAGAGCATTTACTTCTATAGGCTGCCGACAGCGGCTGATACTTGCTTTCCAATCACAGCAGTGGTTGTACGTTTCCTTTTTAAATGACGTATTGACAGTTTTTAAAAGGGAGAGTGGATGGACAGCAAGCTATCAAAGAAATGCTGGTGGGGGCCTACACACGGGTTGGCTCGGCCGCCTTCTAGTTTAGTTTCAGGTGGGACTGGCGATCATTTCCTGCCACCCATACTTTCCCCTCAGGCATCCCCATGGGAGGGACGTCTGAACACCTACAGAGCTGGGCTCCAATACCTGTTTCCGCTCACCAGCTGCGTGATCCTAGCCGTGTCGCTTAATCTCCTGGTGCCTCAGTTTCCTCCTCTGTAACATGGGGATAATAAGAGTACACGCTCCGTCAGCTACTGGGAGTGCGAGGTGTGTGCCACAGACAGGCTCCCCGGCCCGGCACTAAGTGTGTCGTAAACATCGTTCTTCTTTTCGCCTCGGAAAGCCCCGCTGCCTTGGCCTCCCACACCTCGGTCTAGAACTCGCGACGTCAGAGCCACGGAGGGCCTCTTCTGAGCCACGCCCTGTGTCCTGGGACACAGGCTGGCCTGGCTGCTGCTGCCAGGGAGGGGGTGGGTGTTGATCGACATCTCTCAGCCTCTCAGGTGTGGTTTCCCCTGGCGCTGGGCCACCGCGAAGGGTGGGAGCAGTCCTGTAGCCGCCGGGCGTCACAGCGGAGGCTCAGCATTGGCAAGGCTGCCCAGATGCCAAAAGAGATAGGCAGTTCCGTTTCATAGGTGAACCCCCTTCCCGAGTTCTGAGCCCGTGCAAGGCTTCTGAAGGCCAAAGTCTGGCGGGGAAGGGAGGGTGTGAAGTGTTCTTCATTTGCTTATCTTGGTGGCTAGATCCAGGTTCCAGGAAATCTGCCCTCCCTTAGCCTGGCGTTATTCTGTGTTGGCTTCCTTTTGAGGCAGGCCCCTCCCTCGCGTGGTGGCCAGCATGCCGGCCAGCACCTCCATGGCCGCGTGCCAAAGCCACAGGGGATGGCCCCACCCGTACTAGTCCGAGTCAAAGTTCCAGGCTGATGCTCAGTAGCCTGGCTTGGCTCACTTGGAATCTCTGAACCTGGCCCAGGTTGTGGGCAGGACAGAGGGTGCTGGTACTGGACTCTGATTGGCCAGACGTGAGTCACATGCCCACCTCTGGAGCCGCGGGGGTGGGGGACGGGGTCCGTTGTCGTATCGGCTGGGAATGAGGGACGGGCGGCTCCCCAGAGCAGACTCCGGGGAAGGGGAAGCAGGGACAGGGCTGGCTGTAACAGCCAGGTTTAGGGCCTGGCCCTGGACCCCCAGCCAGCAGGTAGAATTGATCAGCGCACCCCAGCCATGGCCCAGTGGTCATGTTCACGCTCAGTGCTGCCCAGGGCCTCGGAAGTCCTGGCTGGGCTTCTCCTGTGGGCGGAGACACCCCAGAGACAGCTTGGAGACACCCCGCCCCCATCTCTCCCTGTCCTGGGGCTAGACCCAGAGAACGGGGTGGGCACGACTGGTCTCAACCAATGAGGATGCACCCTGGGACCAGAGCCAGAGGCTTACCCGCCCTGAGCTTGGAGTACCCATGCTAATGGCAAAGATGGGTGTCTCTGCCCTGCTTGCCCCCATATTGCAGACCCCAGCTGTGGCTCCGAGTGGGGGACCAAATCTTTTTTTTTTTTTTTAAGGTACAATTGATGTACAATATTATATTAGTTTCAGACATGCTACAGCACAGTGATCTGACATTTGTACACATTGCAAAATGATCAGGGCAAGTCGGGTTACCGGTCTCTCACCATGCAAAGTGAAAAGAATGTTAGTAACAGTCTTCTGCATGGATGACATGGATGGGACCCTTGCTAAGGAGACACCTTAGAAGTGGAATTTGGGGAAGGGAGCTACCCATTGTCCTGAATGATCTCTGGACAGGGTTCGGTAATGGAAGTGGAGTTTGGGCTCAGGCATTGGAGGGTGAATACGAGTTTTCTAGACAGGAAGGAAGAGAGCAGTAGGCCAGGGGGAGGGAACCACATGAGCAAAGACTTGGGGGTGTGAAGATTCGTGGCATGTCCGAGGATTACGGGGATGTGGGTGGTGTATGCAGTAAAACAGACAGCGAGGCCACCGGTGTGTTCAGGATTGTGAACGGTTACCATTTCTCGTGTGCCTGAAATGTGCGAGGCACAAGGTACATCACTGGTGGCTGCAAAGCCCCACAGGTGGGAGGGTGTCGCTGTCTCCATTTTAGTGATGAGGAGACCGAGGCATGGAGAGATGGAATGACTCGCCCGGGGTCCCGCAGCTGGCAGAACCGCGGGTGGGAAGCCTGGACTTGAACTCCAGGGCCAGTACCAATTCTCCCTTGGATCTTTCTCTCAGGGATGGCCTCCGAAACACCTGGCCCTTTTTGTCAAAAACAAAAACAAAAACAAAAACAAAAACACTCCACAAGTAGTTCCTGGGAAGCTCCAATTTTTCTTCTGTTTCTTAAAACACTTCCCAACCTCCTACTCCTTTCTGGGACATACGATTCCTTTGGTGACCTAGGTCCAGCTGTTGCTTCCTGCTTACTCACATTTAGAGAGAAAATAGGGCCGTGAGTGAGTGTCTTTGTGTTCCTGCCCTCACTTCCTCCCATAACTCTCCCCCAGACCTCCGCTCCAATCCACGGGCAGAAGCAGGGCTGCATAGGGGCAGACCTGGCAGGGTGAGGAGCTGCGGGCAGAGGCTCAGGTTACTCCCATGCCGTCAGACTCGATCTTGAATACACGTTTCGTTTTGTGTCTTAAAGATTTTTATTTTTATTTTTTTTGAACGTTTATTTTTTTTTGAGAGACAGACAGATCATGAGTGGGAGAGGGGCATAGAGAGAGGGAGACACAGAATCCGAAGTAGGCTCCAGGCTCTGAGCTGTCAGCACAGAGCCTGACTTGGGCCTTGAACTCACGAACCATGAGATCATGACCTGAGCCGAAGTCAGACACTTAACCTACTGAGCCGCCTGGGCGCCCCAATGTAGCGGCTTTGAACAGCATGCATTTTGTTGACCCACCTTTCTGGGGTCCAGGAGTCTGGGTGTGGCTTAGCTGGGACCTCACGCTTCAACTGTCCCAAGGGCACAGTCAAGGACTCGTCTGGGGCTGCGGCCTCATCTGAGGCTCGACTGGGGAAAGATCTCTCCCAAGCTGTTGTGTTGTGGGCAGCGTTGTTTCCTGTGGGCCGCCGGACTGAGGGCCTCAGGTTCTTACTGGCCCTGCCTGGGAGGCTGCCCTCAGTTCCTTCCCCATTGTCTTCTCAAAGCCGGCACAGGAGAGAGTCTCCTAGCAAGCTGTAACGATAGCCTTACAGAATCTAACCCCACGGTGGGTCACAAGACCCACCATTCAAGAATTGGGGATCACACAGGGGCATGATGCGGGGGCGAGGGGGTCACAGGGCCATCCCAGAGTCCGTCTTTTTTTTTTTTTTTTAAGTTTATTTATTTCTTTATTTTGAGAGGGACAGTGCAGAGAGAGAAGGAATCCCAAGCAGGCTCCACACCCTCAGCGCAGAGCTCGGTGCAAGGCTCAAACTCACGAACCGTGAGAGCGTGATATGAGCTGAAAGAGTTAGATGCTTAACTGACCGAGCCACCCAGGTGCCCTCTATTTTTTTTTTTAAACACAAAAGGCAGTAGACAACCTATGCTACTTTCATTTGCCTTTTTCACTTGATATCAGTTCTTGGAAGTCCCTTCCCAACAGTTGGAGGAGGGCTGAGGTTCTAGGCTAGAGTTTGGCCTTGACTATGAAGGCTCCTGAGGGCCCACGGAGTAGAGAGAGGGAGACAGTGGTGACTTTGTCTGTGCTGTAGAGAGGTCACTCTCATGCTTCCTGCGTGCCAGGCCCTGTTCTCAGTGCTTATCGGGTGTTAACCAACTTAATCCTCACACCAGCCCTGGGGCATAGGCACTTTGATTATCCCCATTTTGCAAAAGAAGGACATCAAGGTCCAGAGAGGTTATACAGCTTAGGGTCACACAGCTAGAAAGTGGCAGTAAGGACTCTTCCCCTCATTTTACAGAGGAGGAGATTCAAAGTCCAAGGTTAATCAGCTGGCCCCAGTAACGTTGCACATTGAGCATCAGGGCGCCGAGGACAGGGGGAGGGCCAGTCCCCTGGCTCCTCTCGCCTGTGACTCTGGTCACAGTTGTGGGGGTTGGCAAACAAAGCCTGAACTGGAGGAGCAAGCAAATACCCAGGCTGGTGGCCCTTCGACACTGTGGGGTCAGCTAAGGACGGGAGCCAGGGTGGGGGCGGGTGCTGTCTGCCCCCGAGGCCGGTGCACTGATGCGTCCCTCTCCTCCCCCAGTCCAGAATCTATAACGTGACCTACAGGGAGCCCACCTTCCGTGTGGCGGCCAGCACCCTGAAGTCTGGAGCTTCCTACACCGCGCGGGTGAGGGCCTGGGCTCAGAGCTACAACAGCCTCTGGAGTGAGTGGAGCCCCAGCATCAGGTGGCTTAACCGTGAGTACCCACCGGGGGCCACGGGCGGGTCGAGCCTCTGCCCCTCATGTTCATTCTGTGGCCAACACTTCCCCCTTGGTGAAGCATCGGGATTTCCACACCAGAGCGGGCCCCTACCTGCAGGTAATAGAAGTCCGGGCAGACCCGGGGTGCTGGTCAGGGCAGCCCAGCGATGCTGCAGTCACAGAGAAGCGCCCACGGCCTGCGGGCTCCGCATGGCTGCAATGTATGACCTGCTCACGTATCAGTCGGCCGTGAACTTGCCTGGTTTGCACGTGGTTTGCCTCCCTGTGGTTCCCACCGTTCTCTAGGACAAAGATTCCTTCTGTGTGTGTGTGTTTTTATTTTTTTATTTTTTAAATGTTTTATTTATTTCTAGGAGAGAGAGAGAGACAGTGCGAGCAGGGAAGGGTCAGAGAGAGAGGGAGTGACAGACTCTGAAACAGGCTCCAGGCTCTGAGCCGGCAGTCAGCACAGAGCCCGACGCGGGGCTCAAACCCACGAACCGCGAGATCATGACCTAAGCGAAAGTCGGACGCTTAACTGACTAAGCCACCCAGGCGCCCCTGTGTGTGTGTGTTTTTAAAAGAGTTGAATGGATGTGAATTTATTTTTTGGTTCTTTCCAAATTTTTATCGACATCCCAGTTGGTTAACCTACAGTGTGGTATCGTTTGAGAAGCAGAATTCACGTAAGGACTGATCGCTTATGTACACCTGCCAGCGCGCATCCCAGCATGTGCCCGCCTTCGTTCCCCTCCCCCTTCTAGCCCATCCCCCTCCTCCCTCCATCAACCCCCAGTTTGTCCTCTATCGTTAAGAGTCTCTTATGGTTTGTTCCCCTTTTTTTTCTCCCTTCCCTATGTTCATCTGTTTTGTTTCTTAAGTTCCACAGATGAGTGAAATCGTACGGTATTTGTCTTTCTCTGACTTATTTCACCAGCATAATATACTCTAGCTCCATCCACATCATTGCAAAGGCAAGATTTTATTCTTTTTGATGGCTGAGTGATATTCCAGTGTGTGTGTGTGTGTGTGTGTGTGTGTGTGTGTGTGCACTGCATCTTTATCCATTCGTCAGCGGATTGACATTTGGGCTCTTTCCATACCCTGGCTATTGTTGATAGTGCTGCTATAAACATTGGGGTGCCTGTCCCCTTTCAAATCTATATTTTTGTATCCCTTTGGTAAATACCTAGTGGTGCAGTTGCTGACTCGTAGGGTAGATCTGCTTTCAACTTTTTGAGGAACCTCCACACTGTTTTCCAGAGCAACTGCACCAGTTTGCATTCCGACCAACAGTGCAAGAGGCTTCCTCTTTCTCTGCATCCTTGCCAGCATCTATCGTTTCCTGAGTTAATTTTAGCCACTCTGACTGGTGTAGCCACTCTGACTGGTATCTCGTTGTGGTTTCAATTTGTATTTCCTGATGATGAGTGATATTGAGCGTCTTTTCATGTGTCAGTTAGCCATCAGGATGTCTTCTTTAGAAAAGTGTCTATTCATGTCTTTTGCCCATGTCTTTGCTGGATTATGTTTTTTGGGTGTTGAGTTTGATAAGTTCTTTATAGATTTTGGATACTAACCCTTTATCTGATATGTCATTTGCAAATATCTTCTCCCATTCCGTTGGTTGCCTTTTAGTTTTGCTGACTGTCTCCTTCACTGTGCAGAAGCTTTTTATCTTGGTGAGGTCCCAGTAGCTGATTTTTGCTTTTGTTTCCCTCGTCTGTGTTAACAAGTCTAGTCAGAAGTTGCCACGGCCGAGGTCAAAGAGATTGCTGCCTATTCTATGGTTTCCTGTCTCAATTTGGGTCACACATTTAGGTCATCCATTTTGAGTTTATTTTTGTTTATGGTGTAAGAAAGTGCTTCTTAAAAACCTGAGCCCAGAAGTGACACACACCACTTCCTCTCAAGTTTTATTGGCGAAACTAGTCACATGGCCACACGGAGCTACAAGGGGTTCTGGGAGATGTAGTCCCTCGTAGGGTAGCTGCATTACACACACAGCCCCCGCCCCCCAACCCATCCCCACAACTGGTCTTTGCAACACTGTTACTCATGGCGTTTTGCATGGAAACATTGAGTTATCTCACATAAAATGAAGTCTCACAAGTGGGCCCTCCCTGGTTTATACCTCAGCCCAGTGACATGTATCGCTGGTACATGATAGTGTTTTATCCTTGGACTTGTTACCCCAGGCCCCAAGCTGGCTGCTGGCCCCAAGGCCTAAAAGAAACAAAAGGCTGCCACAAGCAGGTGCTCCTTGGTCCTCTCTTTCATCAGGAAGCAAAAATCTTTCCAGAAGCTTCCCTAGCGGACCTCCCCTTGCATCTCATTGGCCAGGATGGCCGCGGAGTCTCTCCTAGCTGCAAGGGAGGCTAGAACCTCATGCCTGGCAAGGAGAATAAGATAATCACGATCGGCCCAAACCTCAGGGCGGGAGCATTGCTCCCTGGCAGGGAAGATGGAGGGCTATCTGTTGGGGATGGAAGCCACCTCAGGCACCGTTTACCGTGGAGGAAGAGCAGGGCTGTTGTGAACATTCAGTGAGAGAAGGGTCTTCAAAGTGCTGGGCAAAGTGGCCGTTGGTGGGAACCCCACCCATCCCCCACCCTTCCGACTTCATCCCTCTTAGTATTGCTCCCCTTGACCCGCAGACATCTCCTGACACTGCCTTTCACTCCATAGGTGGGACCTACTCTGTGCCTCTGGTGTCTGCACAACACCAGGCACATAGTAAGCGCCGGGCAAAGTCACGTCCCGTTCACCTGATTGTACCACTGACCTGGGGAAGGGAAGGAAAAGTGTAGAGAAACAGCTTGTGTGGAGCGTATATGATGGGCTGACCCCTCATTCATTATTTCCACAATTATTTATTGAGCCCATACTGCACGCCTGGCCCTGGGCTAGACCCTGGGGCATCAGCAGAGAACGAAGCAGACACAAATCCCCGATCTTGTGGGACTCACATTCTGGAAGGGAGACAGAGAATAAGCAAACAGGAAAATGAATCACATAGCTCTTGATCCGTATGACATTACATCTGGGGAGAAAATCAGGGTGAAGGCATGGGGAGGTGGGAGGGACAGCAGGAGAGAGGGCGTGAGGGAGCTTTTCGGAGCAGGTGACCTCAAAGCGAGTGAGAAGGGGCCAGCTGTGCCCAGACAGCAGCAGCAAAGGCTTGTGGGACTGGCAGGCACGGCCGTGACCGCGTCGTGTGATCCCCACAACAGCCCTATGTCGTCAGTGCGGTATTAACCCCAGTGGACAGATGAGGAAGCACAGAGGGGCTGAGGGCCCTGTCCAGGGTCCCCAGCAAGGATGTGACAGAGTCGGGCTTTGAGCTCAGGTAGTCTGGCTCCAGATGCCCGCTCTCTTCAGAGACAGCAGTGTGTTCAAGGTCCTGGGGTGGCCCTGAGCTTTGAAGGAACAGGGGAGAGTGAGGAGGCCGGGTGGCGAGGGCGCAGTAGGAGGGGACGAGGCGGGGGCACTGGGCGGAGGCCGGCCCACACGGGGTCCCAGAGGACCCTTCCTGAGCCTCGGCTTCCGGCTCCGGGAAAGGCGGGTGGCGCCGCGGCTCATGGCTTCCCTCCCACTCACAGACTATGAACCCTGGGAACATCACCTCCAGCTCGGCGTCACCATCTCCTGCCTTGTCATCTTGGCCGTCTGCCTGTCCTGCTACTTCAGTGTCATCAAGTGAGTCCTGGGCTTCGCCACGGGAGGCCCGCGAGCTGGCCCCTCTGGACTATGCGGGGGGTGGGAACCCCCTCATGTCTGTCTGCTTGCGGTCCCGTCCCTCAGCAATATATATTTATTGAGCAGCTACTATGCACGGGGCACAGAGGCAACAGCCAAGAGCAGGGCCGACGACAACCCTGTCTGTGCTCTTTATGGGGGAGGGGAGACCGGAGACACGGTGATCGGCGCACTAAAGGGAATTTGCCAGGGCGAAGGGGAGAAATGTTCCGGCTGCTGGGTTGGGAGGCCGGGCAGGCCCCTCGGAGGAGGTGATGCTTGAGCCGAGGGATGCTCTGGAGGGAGAATGAGCTGGGGAGGGACTTTCCTCTGGCAGAAGGGAGATGGGTCACCCCGAGGCCCCAGGGTGAGGTGCAGACACTCGGAGCATGTGGCGGGAGACAGGGGACTTCTAGACAGTTGTCCCTGGAGACCTGGCTTTGGACCCTGGCCTTGGAGCTCCGGAGTTTTGTGGCCGTAAGAGGCCAAACCTCTCAGCCTCAGGTCTGTGTTGCGGGTTGGAGGCGAACTGATTTCACGAGTCCTGAGAGTCCTGACAGAGTCCTGGTCGCGGCAGGCGGGGGTGGAAGGAGCATAGCTTCCACTGAGCTCAGGCCCTTGGGTTTGTGGGGTCTCACAGCGTCCACTCTCCCGTCTCAGAAACGGGACCAGCCGGCCCTGGCTCACCACGTAAGGCCTCGCGGTGACTGGGGACTGAGGGGGCAGAGGTGTCCTGCGGTTTGCTGGCCACACAGCAGGCGTGCAGGAAATACAGGTTCCCTCCTCCGCATCTTGCTCCGGATGGCTCTGCGTGACGCTGGGCTGCTCTTTTCCCCTTCTCTGAGCCTCTGTTTCCCCATCGTCTGTCCCTCCCTGCCAGGAAGGCCCTTTCCCCTGGTGTCACCACAGTTCCTGCTCCCCCTCTAGTGGCCACTCAGAAGTCCCCTCCTCCAAGAGGCCTTCCGTGATTGCACCCTCCATTCCTCTCACTTCCCTTTCTTCTGCATTTCCATCTGTGACATGGAAGCTGCCACGGCTGATGTCTGTCTCTTCTAGAAAGTCAGCTCTGCCAGGGCAGAGAGTTTTGTCAGTCTCATTCACCGTTGTGTCCCCGATGCCTGGACCAGCGAGTGGTGCCTAGTAAATATTGATAAATACGTGTTGCCCGACTGAGTGAAGTGGGCCGAGGCCAATCACAGGTGTTCTGAGAAGCTGCGCTCCCAGCGCTGACTCCTGTGGCCCCAGACAGACCAGGCGGAGAGGAGGTCCCTCGGCTGCGCCACATCACGGGCTCCTTCCTGGCTGACAGACTGCTGGGGCCTGAACCTGCTGGGTCTGCCCGCAGTCCCGCTGCTGCTTCACCCCTGGGGCCCCCGTGACTTCGCCTGTAGAGCAAGGTCAGGGCAGGGCATCCAAGCACTGCCCGACGCGGTCTCTGACGCCTTCATGGAAGCAGCACCCGATAACTCTTTTTTTTTTTTTAGTTTTTTTTTTTTTAAATTTTTATTAGAAAGAGCACAAACAGGGGAGAGGAGGAGAGAGAGAGAGGGAGACAGAATCCCAAGCAGGCTCTGCGCTGTCATCTCAGGGTCTGACGCGGGGCTCGAACCCAAGAACCGTGCGATAGTGATCTGAGCTGAAATCCACTCGGCAGCTTAAGCGACTGGGCCATGCAGGCACCCCTCAGCAACTCTTCCTCTTCCTTTTCAGGATTAAGAAAGAATGGTGGGACCAGATCCCCAACCCCGCCAACAGCCGCCTGGTGGCTATAGTCATCCAGGAGCCACAGGTAGGAGGGCGGGGTGGTGAGCTTGCTTTAGATGTCAGAAAGCAGGATTCAAAAGACTTGGGAGGTTGCGGGTGCGCATCTACTTTTGGAAGTGCGCGTAGACATCAGGAAGGCTCCTGGCGTCAGCAGCTTCGCGTGCTCACTAGGGTCCCAGAGCCCGCCGCTCCCTCCCCCTGGCTTCCAGGGCTGTTCTTTCTACCAGGCCAGGCTCCTGGGGGCTGGTTGCTTGGCTTATCTCCCCTGGGAGGAGGTGACGGTCACCTCCACGTTGTCTCCTGGAGTGGTTTCTGTAGCAGGGCAAGAAGCCAAAAGGTGAGGAAGATGGGGACAGTCTCCCTGTGTCTTCCTCTGACGAGCAGAAAACTGCCCCCCAAACACCAGCAGATCTCTGCCCGATTCTCACTGGTCCAAACTGTTACCGCACACCCTTTCCCAAAGCCCTCACCACGACGGGAGAGGGGACCCTCTAGGACCAGCCAGATTGCTACCTGAACGAAGGGTGGATCATTTCTCCAGTGCCATGGCCACGTGGAGTTTCCTGGGTGACATCAGGGAGGAAAGGAAGGGCACAAGCCCAAGTGTCCTCCATTCTCTAGGGACCCACTGGCAGGCTTTGGAGTCCAGGGGTCTGGCTTTGGACCCAGGCTTTGCCTTTGACGTGCAGTGTGGACTTGGGGATGTTGCTTAACCTCTCTGAGCCAGTTTCTTCATGTGGGTGATGGTAGTGCTTCCCTAACTGATACTGCAATTTGTGGAAACAGCACATATAAAGTATATATTGCAGGGTCCTGCACAGAATAAGTGCTGTTCGTGTATCAGTTAGTGTTGGTGTGTAACAAATCAGCCCAAAATTTAAAGAGCTAAAACACTCTCCATGAGCACTTGTTTCTGCAGGTGGGCAGTTTGGGCTTCATGCAGTGGTGGAGGGGCAGGGAGGCTCCGGGATGGGCCCCTGCCCAGTGGTCTCACTCACAGGTCTGGAAGTCGGCCAACTCTCAGCCGGAGCACTGGTGGTGACTAAGCATTGTCTATCATCCTCGAGCTGGCCGGCCAGTGTCACTTCCACAGCATCATATTGGTCAGAGCAAGTCACATGGCCAGGCCGGATTCAGAGGGTGGGAGGAGCTTCAGAGTGGTGTGGCCATTTTTACCATCAGCCCCAGCGACTTACTATCCGGGCAGTCTCCTTGATTCCCCAGGACGCTGAGGCTCAGAGAGCTAAAGTGACCTTGACGGGACCCCCGGCCTATGTGATGTCAAGTCTTTTTGCAGCAGACGCCCCCTGAGCCGCGCTGGAGCCAGGCTGAGCTGTGAGGCCTGGCCACCCTGTTTCACTGGCTGTCTCTGTATTTTAGGTGTCACTGTGGGGGAAGCGGTCCCGAGGCCAGGAGCCAGCCAAGTGCCCGTATGTATACGAACTTGGGTCACAGCCTCTGGATTTGGAGGCTGTTGGGGGTGGGGCAGTGGGACCACACCCCCAACTCCGCAGCTGCCTTTTTCCCTCCTTAGCACGCGGGACTTGTCTTGTGACCCTGGGCTTGGAGGCAGAGGGGCAGGGGGAGGGGGTTCTGGGGAGGTGGGCGTGTTGCCTAAGCCCCCTGTGTTTCACCAGGGGTCAGGCCTGTGCCGGACCCCTCGGAAGTGTACAGTCTGAGCCAGACGGCCATGCCGCTTGCTAAAATGTCAACATCATTGCATGTAGGTTGGCGGATAGCCAATTCTGGAACCCTCGAGTAGCAGCCATCATCCTGCGTCCCCTAGCTTGTCCCTGGATGACCCACAGTCCAGTAACTAAAGGGTTGATACCTGGCATAGCAGGGCACTCCACAGCCACAGTCGTTACGTATGCTGTGGTACTCGTAAATGTTTTAAATTGATAAGTATTTTTTTTTTCAGTTTATTTTTGAGAGAGCAAGTGTGTGTGCGTGTGCACACACAAGTGGGGGAGGGACAGAAAGAGACCCCCAAGCAGGCCCACACCTACGCGGGGCTCCACGTGGGGCTTGAACACCCGAACTGTGAGATCCTGACCCGAGCTGATATCAAGAGTCGGATGCTTAACCAACTGAGCCACCCAGGAGCCCCTGATCAGTATTTTAAATGTCATCGTCCTTGACAGAGACGTTCCCGTATTCGGTAGACTGAGTTTATGCCGGGGGCCGGATTCTGTGTGGCCTCCAGAAACCTCAAAGTGAGACACGGGCCCTGCCTTCAAGGAGTTCGCGGGCTGGTAGGGAAGACAGACCGAGGGATGATTGATTCTAAAGTCAGGAGGCGTGTCTGCAATAGATAGACTTCAGTCTGGGCTGGTTTCAAGCCGGGCTTTGAAGGACGAATAGGAGGTTTTCCAGCCGAGAAACTGAATCCCGACCGAAGTTTTCTTTGCTTTTGCAGACGCTGGAAGACTTGTCTTGCTAAGCTCCTGCCCTGTTTGCTGGAGCACAGACTGGAGGGGGAACAGGACTTCTCCAAGAGTGCCGGAAACAGGCCTGTTCTGGGTGCTGGCAAAGCAGCGTGGGGCCCCGTGGAGGTCAGCAAGACGGTCCTCTGGCCCGAGGACATCAGTGTGGTGCGATGCGTGGAGCTCCTGGAGGCGCCCGTGGCGAGCAAGGAGGAGGAGGGGGAGGAGGAGGAGGAGGGGAGCCTCTGCCCTTCGCCCGTGGACAGCAGGGACCCCTTCCAGGAGAGCAGGGAGGGCATCGCGGCCCGGCTGACAGAAAGCCTCTTCCTGGACCTCCTCGAGGATCAGGCGGGATCCTGGCTTCCTCCTCCGGGCGATGTGGGTACTCAGATGCCCTGGGCTGCGTTCCCGGCTCCGGGGCCCCAGGAGGCATCGTCCCAGGGCCACGAGCTGCCTTTCAAGCCCCAGTCCCGACCTCCAGCCACTCCGGCCCAGAGCCTCGGTGGCCTGACTTTCCCAGAGATGCCTCCTGTCATCACAGACAACCCCGCCTACCGCAGCTTCGGAACCTGCCCTGACCCAACTCCGGGAGAAGGTGACTCGGACCCCGAGCTGGCTGGGCGCCTGGGGGAGGCGGACCCTGGCATCGCCCCCGCCCCCGAGCCTTCAGAGCCCGAGCCAGAGACCTGGGAGCACATCCTGCGCCAGAGTGTCCTTCAGCACAGGGCGGCCCCGGCCCCGGCCCCCAGCAGCGGCTACCGCGAGTGCGTGCACGCCGTGGGGCAGGGAGGCGGCCGGGGCGGAGGGGCGGCGGGGTACAAGGCCTTCTCGAGTCTGCTCTCCAGCGATGCCGTCTGCCCAGAGACATCAGGGGGTGAGGCCGGCAGTGGGGATGGGGGCTACAAGCCCTTCCAGAGCCTCACTCCTGGCTGCCCTGGGGCCCCCGCCCCCACCCCCCTGTTCACCTTCGGACTGGACATGGAGCCACCTCGCTGCCCTCAGGGCTCACTCCTCCCAGGCAGCTCTGCGGAGCCAGCGGGAAAGGCAGACGGCAGCTGCAGCCTTAAGAGCCTGCTGGCCCCGGAGCTGGACGTAGGCCCCCTCGGGGACGACCTGGCCAGTGGCATCGTCTATTCAGCCCTCACCTGCCACCTGTGTGGCCACCTGAAGCAGTGTCACGGCCAGGAGGAGCGTGGCGAGGCCGCTGTGGCCAGCCCCTGCTGCGGCTGCTGCTGCGGGGACAGGTCCTCGCCGCTGGGCAGCCCCCTAAGGGCGCCGGACCCCCTGCCCGCCGGGGTCCCCCTGGAGGCCGGCCTCTCTCCAGCCTCCCTGGTGCCCTTGGCCGTCCTGGAGGAGGGCACGCCCTCCCTGTTCTTGCAGCCTGCCCCGAGCCGTGCCCCCAGCTCAGGCCAGACCCCCAGAAGGCTGGCCGAGCTCTTCCCAGAGCCCACGTGTGTGATCGCCTCTTAGCAGGGTGCCCTCTTGTCGCTGACGCCTGCAAGCGAAGGCTGGGCCTCGGCCGTGCCTGTGAGGTGCCTCATCGCCCAGCAGACTTTCCAGAGACTTGGAGAGCCCTGGTCTGAGGTTGGGAGGCCGTCTGCCACGGGGCACAGAGACCGGACAGCACCCCCAGCTCCCAGCCGTGGCCCGGGCTCGCCACATCCCATGGGAGTGGGGGCACAGTGGGGAGGCCCCTGCAGGGATCGAGAATTCTTGGGGCCTCGGCTTATGCACAGACCACTGGCCACTCGGTCGGTCCACGTGCTGTCCCCGTCATGCTCACCCTGTGTGTGCTCTGCGCACCTCGTCACTCTGTGATTGTGTCTTGCCCCGTTCCGGGCTTAGCTGCTGCTGTCTCACTCGACCCGAGGCTGAGCCTAGAAGCCACCCAAGCCCGCGGGGGGGACGGCTTGGGAGACCTTGGGCAACAGATGGGACACTGTGGTCCAGGAAGGATGGTCATGTGCTCAGTCAGAGCCACCATTCACTGAGCAGACCTCCCTTAGGGTGACACTGGGGGCGGGACCTGGGTTGAGGAGGGGCGCTAAGTGTGGGTAACGGACACGGTAACGGACACAAAAGGGCACGGAAGATTGTGATCACCAAGCCAGGCCTGGCCGCTGTCTGGTCCCCACCCAACCGATGGGGCGGGGCGGGGGGAGGAGGCCTCCTGTTAAACCCAGGAGCCCCAGAATGGACACAGCCAGCTCCCTCAAGGCCAGTCCGTGCCCTGTGGATGCTTTGCCGATGGCCACAGGGAGGGAGTGGTTCCAGCGCAGTGACTGGCCCACAGGGGTCACCCTAGGGTTGCATAATGCTTGTTTGCATCTCAAAGATTATTTTGTCACCTGGTATTTGTTTTTGCTGAGAAGGGTGGAATTGGAGGGAGGGCCCGGGCGTGGTGTCTTGTATAAATAAAGCCTCTTTATTACCTTGCCCCGCCCCCTCCACTTATTAAACAAACATCCTGGCCACCACGGTTGTGAGCTCCTTATCTCTGTTAACTCACAGACTCTTCCGTTCCAGAGGAAACGAGCTCCAAGTTCACTTTCTGTCTCTGTTTGGGTCCCCCCAAGACGTGGACTCAAGTGCAATTAGTTGCCGGAGGTGGTGATTCCAGGAAACCTTGCACTGGAGTTAAGTGAGGCGGGGAAGGTCAGGAGGCAGTAAACAGCGTGTAAGCCAATGGGGCTGGCCCGGGCCCTTGACCTTCACCTTCTGGAAGCCTTGAATAACCATGTGTTTAAAGGTGTCCCCACAGAGGTAAGGGAGCTGCGGTGTTCAGGTCCACTGGCTTCTATCTGGTTAGGGGCTGCTCCCGGGACACTAATTCTCCAGCACGTCCAGCTGCACATATGAAGAAGATGCAGGCAGAGTATTACCAGAAGCTGCTACACTTTGCCAAGGTCACACAGCTAGTTAGTGGTGGGCCTCTAGCTGAACCCAGGCAGTGTGTCCTTGAACTAGGCTGTCTGTAGGTGACCCATGCTGAAGCTCTGTGTCTGTGATCACTCGGCTCCCTGAGTAGCTACCCCGACGGCCACACCTGGCAGAAAAAGGGGCTTGGCCGTATGAGGTTCCCTTCTGCTCTGGCATTCTATACAATGTACCAGAAGTGACAGGGAGCTCACTACCTCTCATGCAGCCTGATGTTTGTTAGAAACCCTTCCTCTGTGCTGAACCCAAATCTATGCCTTTAGAGGCCTGAGTCACCCCTTTACCACCACCCCATGATTTACAGATGGGGGAACTTTGTGCTAGAGGGGAAAAGGGACTTGCCCAAGGTCACACAGTGAATGACAGAGCCTGAACTAGCCCTCTGGACTTTTTGCCATCAAGAGCTCCAAAAAATGTGTGTGTGTGTGTGTGTGTGTGTGTGTGTGTGTATGATTTAAAATAAAAATAACTCTGTAGGGCCAAGAATATGCTAAGTGCTATATATTCACTACATCACGGCTCTAGCGGGCAGGGTCTGTCACTACCCCAATTTTACAGATAAGGAAGGAGGCCCAGAGAGGTTGAGGTTTGGCTTAGGACCACACAGCAAGGACGTCCCGGAGCAGGACTGGAACCTAGGTCGGACGGTGGGGCTTCCAGCCACCACGGTACGCTGTCTCCTGCACAGCACGCTGCCCACTTAAATATCAGCCCGAATCCATTTTGCCCGAGGCTTGTCTCAGGAAATCACCTGTTGAAAGTAAGCCACAAACAGAGAAAAGAAGTGTGAGAGGTGGAGGGGCTGTCGGCCACAGACCCCAGGCTGGTCTCCTCGTTGTCCCGCCAGGATCTTAAGAGAAAAGAGACCCAGGTGGTCAGCTGAGGCCATCTCATAACAGAGTTGTCTGGGCTTTGGGAAGTGGGAGTAGAGAATCAGACATCTCCCCTCTCTAACGTGGATTTAAGCCCATCCTCCATGGTTCATTGAAGCCGCACCCCCTGCCGATGTTTACTGAGCATGTGTCAAGCACTGTGCTGGGTGCTGAGGAGCCTTCCTTCCTGGACCTTACAGTTGCGCGGAGGAGACAGGCGTTAAATAGACAACAGGGAAACTTACCAACACTGAAGGGCGCTGGGAAGCAAAGAGGGGTCTGAGACAGGGAGCTAACAGAGAGGGCTTTAAGGAGGTGACGTTTAAGCTGAGCCCTCAGGGACTGGAAGAAGCCAGGAAGTGCTGCAGGAAGAGCACTCTGGGCAGACGGTAGAGCAAGTGCAAAGGCCCTGAGGCATAATGAACGTGACTGTTCATAGTTCAGAAAAGATGAGCTAGAACGCAGTGAGCCAGGAACAGAGGTGGGAGATGAGGTCAGGCAGGATGAGGGCCGGAGTGAGGAATTTATATCTCGGCTCAACTGCACATTAGCCCATGCACTGAGATACGTGGTCTGATAGAAGCCAGCCAATCTTCAGTCTCCCCAGTCCCCCCATAAGCCAATGAGAGGAAGTGAAGCCACTGGAAGATTCCTCCAGCGGGGCTCCCTCCCACCTTGCAGGAGTGGAGCACTCAGGCTCCTCCTGACCACAGCGAAGGGAAGGGGGAAGGCGGGGAGGGAGGGCGGTTACAGCTAAAAATCCTCATTGCTGATATTCTCAGGCAGGAAGTGACTTCCCCCAGGGAATGGCCGGCTGCCAAGGCTTTCCTAGAAATTTCTTCAACAAAGGACTTGACCTCTCAGCTCTCCACATTAGGCAAGGAACCCCAAGGGTATTTGGGGTGTGAAGCCCCAGACCCCTTCTCTGCTACATCCCTTTTATCCAACCCACACCTTAGCTTTCTCATTTGTAAAACAGGAAGGATAATAACACCTCCTTCCGGGGGTTGTCCTGGCAATCCATTGCCTCCCTCATCATCATCATCTTCATCATCCCCTGGGCTACTTCCAGGCTTCCCTGCTGAGCCTCTGATGGCTCCTGCTGCCTGTGCTTAATACTCTCTCAGTCCCCATGCCCTTTGGCTTATGCCTACTCCCTCCTTGGCTAGGAGCTCCCCACCTGGCCACACACTCCTTCACTCGAATATTGAGTAACTACTTGGGAACCCGTTGTTAAAGAAAACACAAAAACTCAAATTATCAGCATGGACCAAAGGTTTAGGTTAGAGCTACAGGAAGGGAAGCAGAAGAAAAGAGAAAGAGAAAATGTTGCCTGAAAACATAATATAGAAAGGGATTTCATAGCGAGACCAGCGAATGTCTAGAGCAGCAGTGTGCGTCAGAGCTTTTGGTGCAGTGGGAGGAATCCACAGTCCACGTGTGGCTCGCAAGCACCTGAAATGTGGCCAGTGTAAGTGAGGAACTGATTTTTAAATTCTATTGACTTAATTAACATTTACATTTATTATTAAAAGAAACTTCTTTAATGTTTATTTATTTTTGAGAGAGACAGACCGAGTGCAAGCAGGGAAGGGCAGAGAGGGAGGGAGACACAGAATCTGAAACAGGCTCCAGGCTCTGAGCTGTCAGCACGGCCCGATGCGGGGCTCCAACCCATGAACCCTGAGATCGTGACCTGAGCTGAAGTCGGATGCTCAACAGACTGAGCCCCCCAGACGCCAGTAAACAGCCATCTGTGACTAGTGATTGTAGTATTGGACAGTGCAGGGCTACTGGATCATTTTCTTCCAACATAACTTTGTCCATTGTCTCAGTGGCGGGGCGGGGATGACGAATGAAAGCAAGGACAGGAAAGGGCTGCACCAAATGTTTGCCCCAAGAGCTGCAGACGGGCGAGGATCTGGCAGATCAGGGGAGCCCAGAGCTACAAGTAGGCGGCAGAACAAGATGCTGGAGGCTGGAGTTTCCCAGCATCCCCCGCGGGACTGGACTAGAGGCACAGACAGGGCTGGGCCTGCAGATGCGTTGATCTCAGGGTCCCCCGCCCAATCCCCGCACACCCCCAGCCTCGATTTTACCAAGATTTTCCCTTGGGGAGGGGGGCTGCCGCTGCTTAATTTTATTTTAAATTTTATTATTATTATTTTTTTTTACACAAACCCCCTGCTTATTTGTTTGATTGTTTCTGATTACTAAATTGGCACATGCCAGGCTTCTCTGATTCAGAGAAAACATAAAGGTGTAAAGAGGAAAGTGAAAACCACCGGAAATCCCATCCCCCGCCCCTGCTCCTGGCACCACGTGGGAGATCACAAAATGAACTGTTTTTGAAGGTGTATCTCCGTGAACATCCTGTTGAATAACGTTTCTGACGTTATTTTCCCACAAAAGTTATTAATCAGAAATAGAAACACCCGGCAAGAAGGTTTTGAGGCCCCACTGCAAGAGAGGCATGCCCTCAGCGGACCCCCACAGCGGTGGCTGCGCCGGACTTGCCCGTGAGGAGCTCTGATTCCTGATCGCCCTTGGCCACCATTTGCCCATCCTCGCATGCCCCTTTTCCAGGTGAGAACACTGAGACTCCGAGCAGCAAGGGCCCTGCGCTCATCCTGCCTCGTTTAAACCTGTCTTTGCCAATTCAGGGCTGTGTGACTGTGGGCAAAGTACTTGACCACTCTGGGCCTCGATTTCCACCCCATCAAAGACGCAAAGAAGTAGCCTTCAGCCCGCAGGGGTGAGGTGAGGAGCGGCTGTCGGTTTGCCTAAGATACCCGATGGCAGCCGGGTAGTGCCAGTTCTTGCTCAAAGTCCCACCCTTTCCCACAGCTCCGTTGACAAGTCCGGGGAAGCTGGCCAGTGGGGGGCCTGGCAGCACCCAATTGGCTGCACGCGGGCTCCTGGGTCTCTGCTGCCCCCTAGTGGCCGGCTCTGGCCCCAGCACCCGCCTCTGTCTCGGCGGCCCCGCCGCGGAGCCACGCCCAGAAAAGCAGGCGCGGCGATCTCGATGCACCTGCCCCCACCTCTCTTTCATCTCTGCCTTTGTCCCCCGGCCCCTTCTGCACCTGGCAAAAGTGCAGACACACATTAGGAACTCAGAGTGTCCCAAGGACCGGTTGTGTGGCTCCGGAACGTCTGTGTTTGCTTCCTCATCTGTAAAATGGGAACAATAATACTACTGCCCTCACCGACCCGATGTTAAAATTAACATGTTATTGGCACGTATGTCAATACATGTAAGGGTCAGAATGGTGCCTGCACACGGTTCACGTTGTCCAAGGGCTGGCTCGCCCCTCTTCTTGTTAGACTGAATGGGTCCGTGGGTGTTGTGGAAATGAGGGCGTGAAATATAATTCAAAGAAATAAGGACGTTCTAAACTTAATGCTAATTTATTGTCAGAAGGTCGGACGAGAACATCAGAAGGGCAGGAAGGATGCCAATGGCACCCCCCCCCCCAATTCCTGTTTGTAGCTGTCCACACATCACTTCTAGGTGCTGTTCAAACACAGAGTGGGTGTTTGGATCATGTATCCCTCCCCAAATACCCGTACACATATTATACGTATTTTCTCCCTTCCGCCCTCAATGTTTTACTGCAGCCTTTTCCTCCTTTCCCCGTATGTTTCCGCACCTCCCCCATCTTTAAGGG